TGCACCAAGGATACCCAGCGGCCGGGCGTGCTGCCCACGCCCCGCACAGCGTCAGCCTGATGGCCGCTGCCATGTCCAGGTGTCCTCTCACCCCCCCACTCCGGCCTGCACCCCGGCTCCCATTGGCATAAATAAATAAATCTTAGAAACAAGAGGATGCTGAGGGTGCCCGGCCCCCCGGCCACGCCGCCGCCCCACGCGCCAGGACGTCTGCGTGGCCTGCGTGTGCCGAAGCCCTGCTCACCGCCGCCGCACGTGGCCGTGCAGGGGAAGAAGTCGGTCTGTCTCCACTGGTGGCTGATGGGCTGGTAGAAGAAGAACTGGACCACGCTGTCCCCGGCCTCCGTGAACCTGGTCTGGACAGAGGGCTGCGGCGTCACCCCGCGGCTCGGAGCAGGCCGCGCCCACCTGGCCCTGGCCGCCTCCGTGGGAAGCCTGCTGGCCAGTGCCCGGGCCCGTGTCCACGAGGACAGGCCAGGGCCCCGCGGTGTCTCCGCTGCGGCAGGGAGTTGGAACTCTGACACGTCTATGGGCAGGGGGAAGCAGAACCTTGAGCCCCCCAGGGAGACCGGCACTCGCAGCTCTGGTGGCCGGGCCGGTCCGGACCGGTCACCCGCAGCGAAGCCCCGGCACAGCTCGGGACGGGCCCCCAGGGCCAGGGCGGGCGGCAAGACCCGGCAGAGGCCCACCGACAAGGGAGCGTCCTGCAGGGACCCGTGACGACGGGCAGGGCTGGACACTGGGAGGAGGTGGCCGAGAAGGCCGTGAGATAGCGGCTTTCTGCTGGGCACTGCTGGGGGTGTGTCCCGCAAACCAGCGCCGCACCGCCCCGCCTGGACACGTCGGCAGGGCCACCGCTTCTGACGAGGGGCTGTGAGGATGGACTCGAGCTGGGAAAGGTCGTGGGGGTCCACACCCAGGCGGCTGGAGCCCTTGTAAAGGGGGGAGGGGCGTGGGCACAGGAGAAGCCCGAGCTCTGGGCTGGGCTGCGCTGCCTGCCCTCGCTGGGCTCCGAGTGCCCAGGCACGAGACAGCTGGCTCAGTGTCCACCTCCCGGCCTTCAGGGGCGTGACGGCGGCGGGCTGGCCCGGAGGCCACATCCCGGCACCTTGCGGACGCTGTGGCTGGATCCAGGCTGCCGCTCCCTGCTGCCCACGGTCACCTGTTCCCTGAGAGACGCCGGTCCCCGATCATCGGGGGACGCAGACGACCCCAGGCCTAAGAGTGCCCATGGGCAGAGGTCGGAGGAGACACGAGCGGGACGACCGGAACTGGGCAGTGCGGCCAGAGCACACGTACTCCTGGACAGGAGGACCCCGACGCCAGGGGAAACCCGGCACAGAGAGGTGGCCTTCTCGCCTGGGCACCGGCCCCCGGGGGGAGCCACCAGGGCGTTGACCACCACCAGGCTCGGGCTGCCCGCCGGGCCCTTCGGTGCACCGATGACTCACACCAGCACCCACACACCCCCACTGAGCGCTGTGTGGCGGGCAGGGCCTGGCCGGCTCCTGGCCAGCGTGTCTCGGTGCCGCCACCTGGTGGCAGCGTGCGGGCACTGAAGCAGCAAAGCAGCCACCGTGGTG